CTGCGCCGGGGACGCGGGGGCCGCGCGCAGCAGCTCGGGGCACAGCGCCTCCAGCTCGACGGAGCGCACGTCGCGGTGCGTGAGGTTCTCGGGGCTCCCGCACAGCACCTCCCCCACCACGCTGACCGAGCTGATGGTCTCGATCCACTGCTTGAAGGGCACCAGGTCGCACGTGCAGTCCCAGGGGTTCTCGTTGAGGTCGATCTGCACGATGGCGTTCAGGTGCTCCAGCACGCCGGCCACGGGCAGGTACAGGAAGTAGTTCTTCCTCAGGTTCAGTCGGGCCAGCGACGTGCCCGCGAAGGCGTCGGTCGGCAGCGTCCTCAGCAGGTTGTTGTTGAGGAACAGCAGCTTCAGGTTGGGCATGAGGCTGAAGGCCGCGGGCTGGATCTCGCGGATGACGTTGAACTCGAAGTACAGGTAGTGCAGACTCTGCAGGCCGCGGAACATGCCCGGGGTGAGCCTCTCGATGTCGTTGCCGTTGAGAAACAGGCTCTTCAGGTTGGGCAGGTTGATGAAGGCCCCGTCCTGGACGTAAGAAATGCGGTTGTTCCCCAGGTGCAAGAGATCCAGAGAAGAAAAATTCCAGAAATCAGAGCGGTATATTTTCTGAATCAGATTGCTACTCAGGTACAGTTTTTTGGCATTCAGCGGCCTTGGAAGAAGTTCAGAAATGTTATTAAATCCTCGCTCTTTGCAGTTGACAGTCAAGCCAAGGTCGTTGATGTGCAAATTGCAGGTACATCCGGTAGGGCAGATGATGGGGATAGGGGGTCTGGTCTGGTAAGGAGCGACGGGAGGCTGATTCGGTCCAGGATACAAAGCTTGGGACGTGGAGGGTGGCCTGGGTGTGCGGGGCTGCTTGGTGGGCTTGGGCTGCTTATTGGAGGACTTGTATTCAACGGAAGAAGCGGTAAAGTGGACGGAGGACAGCATGGAGGAAGGTTTGGTTGGCCATGCGTTCTCTTTGCTTGAGGACAGGTGAGGGATCCCCAAGCTCGCCTCCACCTCAGAGTCAGACAGCAACGGGCAGAGTTCCGTCTTCCTGATCTCGCGCAGGTCCTTCCCGTGGAAGTGGAAAGGCGTCTCGCAGGTGATGTCCCCCACCAGGGCGGTGTAAGGAATGCGCTCCAGCCAGCTCTTCAGCTGCACGATGTCACAGGTGCAGTTCCAGGGGTTCTCTTCCAGCTGGAGCTCCATCAGGCTTCTGCCTATGTGATCCAGCATTCCTCGGTAGAAAAGAACCTTTAACCTGTTCCCACGTAAGTCCAGGTGAGTTAGAGAGACAGCCTTAAATAGGTTGGTGGGGAGCATGGGAATGAGGTTATCGTTCAAAATCAGAACCCTCAGTTTACTCAGGTTCCGAAACGCCCCACTCTCGATGCGCTTAATGACATTGTAATCTGCCTGCAGATATTCCAGACTCTCCAGGCCAAGGAAGGTGTCGTTTCTGAAGACATCTAGCTTATTCTCGTGGAGGTACAGCCTCTTTAAGATCTTAAGACCATTGAAAGCTCCCATCTGAATGTCCTGCAAAGCATTGTTCCCAAGGTTAATGGACACGGCATTATTCAAATGTAGAAAACTGTTGGTGTATAACTTCCTCATTGAATTCCTCTGCAGATACAGTTTAAAAGGTCTTGACCAAAATTCAGTAATCTGACTAATATTTGTAAATCCTTTACTGTCACAATGTATATGAAAGAGGCTTTCTTTAACTTCACAGTAGCATGGATCAAAGCAGGGCTCATCTATTTCCTCTGAGTCCTCTATCAGGGGAATCGGGGTAGTCCATCCCAGAGCAATTGTGCTTAGAAGAATTATCCACAACATCCTCCCTCTGTGAAGCACCTCAGCTACGGAAGGTTTCATCATTCGTGGTTGATTACAAAACTGCAACAGAAATAAAGATGCAGATTTTTAGCTTTTAGTCATGTACTATTTTAATTGACTCCTACATGTGGGGCTATTTAAGAGCGATAAAAAGACTTCAGCAATTATCAAACTGACAATCAGAGCAAGCGAGTAACATGCTTAATGTTTAGAAGGTGCCCTATATTTTAATCTTAGGAGACTCTGGAATATTGAAGCAGGCAGTGACAGTCTCTTGAAGCAAACCATACTTGGGCGACGGCACATCACATGAACAAAAGCAGCTTGCATCGCTCGCATAGAAGACAGCAGGGCTGGAATGCTGTGCGGCCTTTTAAGCGGAGGCAGATTCCCCAGTACCGGCAGTAATCTAGCCACTGCACTCGCTCAGCTGTTAAAACTCGTATTGGCCTTAGAGATGCCCATTGTGAATCCTATTCTCAGATGGAAAAAACTGCTCTTCCCAATACACATTTCTGCTATTAAAAAGACATGACATATCCTAAAGTTATTAGGCAGTTATGAATGATAAAGTACAAACCCACTGCCCAGTGTCCTGTGCTGAGATGCATGAAATACCGGCATCTCAAGAAAACTTGAGGTTTCTTTTAAGAAACTATCCAACATGCTTTATTACAGTATACAGTCAGTAACCTCCCACACCCTCCAGCCCCTTTTGCACAAGAACCGATTATTGACACCATCTTTAATGAAATAACTTCTACGTGCTTTATCATTTGGCTATTTAACGTGTTTAGGAAGGATTAGCCCTTAGAAAGAACATGCCCCTGCAGTCCTCAGAGCTAAATATAGTGACAAGTAAAGGTTGCTGAGCCTGGGAGTGTCTGAATTTAAACACTTGCAGAGCTTAGTTCCGAATGTATTTCTCTGCCTTCAAGATCAACTGAGCCACCTAAAAAGCTAGAAGTGCTTGTGGCTGATTACAGGTGGGGATGAAAGGCCAGGGAAGGTGGAAGCCTCGGTTCTTGGCTTCTGATAAATGATCTATCACACGAAATACATTTCAGAAAGAAAGATTCCTTTCCAATCAGAAAATGTGATTGCAGTGCACTCTTCTAACAGCACAAAGCTTCCCTCCATGGCCGTCCCTCCGTGTCTGGCCTCATCAGTTCACGGCAATTTGTTTAGAAATAAATGATAATACAGCTTTATCACAATGCCTTCCCTCCGTCGTTCGAGTATCAATCAGAATCAAATGGCTGATTTCAATCAATGAAGATAAATCAGAGTTTCAAACACGCACTTTCTCCCCACACATTGAGATACACTCCAAGAATATATGTCTTAGCTGGAAATACAGTGATATAATTTATAGGGAAAGTGGGAAAAAATGATCTTTGCAGTGAACTTGCATGTTATGAACACAGCTGTAAGGAAAAAAAGAAACCGAGAGAAGCAAAGAGAAATCTGCCTGAGGGGTGCGATCCTCAATTTTCAGAAACAATTAAGTGGAAAAAAAAAAGAAGAAGAAGAGGAAGAAGGCAGAGGAGGCTACATTGCAGTACCGCTTAGTCTTCCCTCTGGCTTATCAAATATTAAAATCTATGGAAGTTCTTCCTTCCTCAATGTTCCTTAAATATTTCCCCGTTGTCCACAGCCCTGCGGCTTAGGCACGACAGGCTCCGGATGCCTTGCACTTACCTATTTTGCAGATTTGTGTGTGTGAGCCCTGAGCACTGGGGGGGAGCTGGAGTTTAAGGACTCCGGCGCTCGGCTCCCGCCCTTCCTCCCGCGGAGCCGGCACGCGGTGGGGGCGGGGAGGGGCTGCAGGGGAAGCGGCGAGCTCGCGACGTGCTGGGAATGCGATGCGCCCCTCGGTGGGCTGCTTTGGGATGCAGAGCGAGCGGCCCGGCCGGCTCAGCGGCGGCGGGC